ATGGCATGAGATGGGTTACTCATGGGGAATTTCAATTGAATCAAACGCACCTCCGTTCTGTTTGGATAAAGACATCGATTTAATAACTATTCTAAAACGAAAAAATTGTCTCAAGAAAGACCATTGGTCGCCGCCACGTTCACTTCAAATACGCACCTACGCCTACTGCATCTCAGGGATTTTGTGTGTATATGGCATGTGCCCGCAGCGAAAATGCCAAAGCACCGGGACCAGATCATATCAGCGTTTCAATTACGCTTGTGTCTTCCTCCCTCTATCTGGTATTTCGCGCGCGATAATATCTGGCTATAGCCAGCGTTACAGGTGCCAGTGCCATCCATTCTTGGGCGTTGGTGGCGTTACCTGTAAAGCAGGTGCCATGCGTTTCTGTCGAGGATGTCAGATAGTCACATTTGTTTAGAACGTCAAAATACAGAAGAATCTACCTCTAGGGACGAGTTCTGATGGAAAACTAATTTCGCCCATGGGCAGCAGTGGGAGTACACACGTATACAGACTGATTCCAGAACGTATGCTCTGACCTGGGTAAATCATTAGCGAAAGTGTTACCGATGTTAGTACTTCTCCCAAAAAAATAAGAGGCGTTTTAGGGCGCAAATTCCGTATGAACCGTTCGTTCTTTAACATCGTTTCAATTTACAATCGCCCAAAATGACATTCAGTGTCACTTATCCTTATCACAGGAACTGTGATAAGAATACAAATCACTGCTGGGCTTAACGCATAGCAGTCGAGAATAGCTAATTCCAACGTGCAATTGATCACCCAAAGTTCTTGCGCAATCAGTCAGTTCAAACTGTGAGCAAAAGGAGTGGAGCTCCCAATAAAACTAGCCATGAATTCACGGTAAATGCACGTAGTGGCCCATCACTGGGGATTCCCCAACAGGGGAGTGTGTTGCATTCGACCGTTGAAATGAGGGAGGGACTCGTAAAGAGAGGAGCAGCCAGCTCCAAACAGCGCCAAGGTGTCAGTAACACTACGAAAATGACCAACTAACAGTATTAATTACTTGACACAAGTTTTAAGTAAGTACGAGGATATCTGAACAGTGCAACTCAAACAAGTCTGTGGGAAGGCTGTAAACCTTCCCTGACTCTATGAGCACTACAGTCAATTGACCTTCGTTTTCCGTGGTTATACTAATGTGAGCGGGCACTCCGCCTCGCTTGTGCCCATACTGCCGCCGAACGCAACACGAATGAGTAGAAAGTTCATTGGTGAAGCTGACTCGATGGTATCAGTCCGATCGAGCGGTCATGGAGGGTGTGGCCTGGAGCGATGAGCAAAGCTCGGCGATAGACGACGATCCTAGACGGAGCACTCTCATTTTGCCGTTCGCCAGCCCCAAGTACGAAACATGAGTCAGCTAAGTGTCCTCTCATAGTCTCCTCTCCTTCCTTACAACCTCCACTATCTCCTAGCCTACACAAAATAGAAGAACTACTAGGTACAGCCAGAAGTATAGAACTAGCTTTTTTCACTCTCTTACACCCCCCTCCTTCGAAGAAAAGTCCATTCTCGGACTTGAAACGAAGACCAACAGAAAAGTGCTCACCCTGTGGAATGGGTAGAGAAGAGAAGAAGGAACCACGGGTACTCGAGAAGATCGGGAAGAGGCGATGCTGTGGTGACGGCTCCGCGGCAAGCCCAATGTGGAAGCCAAACTTCCATGGAAGAATCACCGTCTTAACCATTAGCGCCTGGAGACACATCGTGAAAATTGTTTGCCACTGCGAGAATCCTAATAGGGTCTTCTCATGGCCTAATACTAGTAACCAATGACGGCAGCGAGTTATTGGTACGTTGAGTCTGTGGGGATCATTCAGAAAATTGCCGCTTGAAGCATCTACTCCAGTGCGCGTGGAAAGGAGCCCGAGATATCTTTCTTCCTACCTTGCACCAAATCTACGTTGTGTAAGTCAATGAGATTTGTGTAAGTCAATGAGGGGAATGCATCCCTTCGTGGAATAGGAGCAAGCAGTAAGTGTTTTAACGTCCATTAGCTTTATTTGTGGATGCGCCATGCCCACGCAGAGATAGCGGGATGGTGCAATTTGAGCGTGATGTCTGTCCACGCGAGCAAATGTGTCTGTAGGATTCAGGGAGGTCCATGGCGAACCTGTGCACTTGTTTACAGTGTTTTCCGCTGCGTATGATGGAGCGTGTCCCTGTCGACGCCGCCAGATTCGTGCTCCGCCAATTGCTGATTCCGATGAAGGAGACCAACTGCTGGAAAACGTCTGATACGAACGATATGGTAGTCCTGTCGTTTGTCGAAAAAAACAGGTTGGCTCAGCGCCAAGCGCGATCGCGGACACGCCCCATCATCCGCAGCGAACCAGAGTATGAGTTGTACTGTTTAGTCACTTACGAGATGATGTCGACTTATTAATATTTCCAGTTATTTCGGATTAGTTTGATGAGTGAAAGTTTTGTACTATTTTTTTTACATATCCGAGTTCTCTACAAAGCAAATTTCCGCGTGTACGGACTCAGCACACTGACGCCAGCAGGGCACGCCATCTTTGTGATCATCACAACAGGGGGGTCGTATTTGCCCGCGATGGAGGGGGGGGGTCGTAAACGCATGGCCCATGTTGAAGTGGAGAGAGCGGTGATACACGGTACAAGTAAAAAGAAGCTCAAAAGGGACGATGTAGATGACAATAAATAGAACTAGGCACTATCGAACTATTCCTAGGCCAAAAACTAAAAAAAATATTGCTGAAACTTTTTCCTCCTTCCTCACAAAAAACTTCAAGACACTTCGCCCACCAACCCTCCTCATCTGGTCTAGATAAATCCCAATCCACTAATCCGCAAAATCTAGAAAAGAATCCATTGCAAAAGCTACCTATGAAACCGTAGAAATTGAATCCTGAGCAATTTCCTCACAACAAAACAAACTCAACAAAACAAAAATCCAACTCAACAAAAACAATTACAAGTAATTCACAATAAAAATGGATAAGAAAAAACTCACCGCTCAGCTGGGAACCGGAACTATGGATTACTTTTGAATTTTGGCTGTTCGCGGTCAGCGCGCTCATACAAGCGCATTGGTGCGCGCTATTTTACGGTTTGGAGCCAATTTCAAGCCAAACACGTGAAAAGTACCCCTCATTTGAACACCCATAACTTCGTTGAAAGTGAAGCTATCGGAGAGGGTAAGTGGGAATGAGTAGAGCTAGGTTGGCTCTTATCACCTGAATTGAGCGATTTCAAAAACGTTCCGGTTCCAGAGATTTTCCCCGTTGTGATCATCTTTGTGATCCATCTGTGATCATTTTTGCGAACCGCGAGTCGCTACGCTTTGGACGTCCATGGCAAGCTTCATACACGGCCTTCAGGGTAGAAAAAATAAGAACTCGTAGCACGGGAACGCTATGAAGATGCTTCTCACTTACCAGCAGGCTTATAAATGTCTATCCTAGGCCATGCATATTCTGAAAAAATTACCCCGTTGTGATCATTATCGTAACACACATACCCCGACATCGGAAAAATCCAGCCCCTCACGGGCCAGGAACCTACCAACTGGTCGAAGACTTCGTTGCATTCTGACACATGTTTTCTCAGCATATCATAATAGCACATTGGGCGCCAATTAGGCTCCATAGCAATGACAAGACCATGCAATGAGGCTCATCAAACGAGCAAGGTGTTTGAAAGTGATAAACTTCTAGAATAGAGCCTTCCCAATTGCAAGCAATGTGCTACCTACGATACAGAAAAGATCGGATATGTACTATCATCTACGTTATTTAAAGACTCAACTCAATGAAAGTCCTACAATAATGTTTTGTTTATAAATTCATGAGTGCACCTTGTAGACGGCGGGCATCGGATAGCTCCAATCATCGCCAACCTTTCCTCGTACTAATTAGTCATAATGCTACACCAGCACCAGAGCTCTGCGTGCTTCGACGTTACGTTAAGGTACCCGCCACCACCCCCGCTACGAACCAGACAGCAAAATTTTGATAAAAAACCAGAAGCTTTTGCGAAAAATAACAAGAAACTTTATTGGGAGACTCCATCGTCGTAGGGAGGGTTGGAAAAATATGAGAGAGGAAGAGGTAACGTGGGGAGGGGGGTCGTACTTGAAGATGGAATTAGGGGGGGTCGTATTTTTCAGGAAATGATCACAACGCAATGGCGTGCCCTGCACTGACACCTTTGCGCTTGCTTTACTGGCTACCGCACTCATTGCGATCCCCCCCCTCTCCTGGCGGCCAAATATGACCCCTCTGTTGGGGATTCCCCCAACCGAAATGTGCCCCTAGCCTGTGCCATTCAAGTACATTCGACCTTTCATATACGACCGCCCACATATAACATATGGGAGAAGACGTTCACTGCTGTAGGGTGCTCAGAAGCCAGGGGAATTTACTAAGGTAAGCCTACAATTTTGGTTTTCTTCCACGTGTGTTTCAGAGAAAAATGTAGTTAAAAAGGCGGAAAAACAATAAATTGTAAAAAGGGATCGTATTTAACCGCTTTCTAGGAAGGGTCTTACGAACTCGACCAACATCCCCAACGCATGATGCACTGAATATATTACATTGTTACATATATCTATTGAGCGCTCGTACTACATGGCATCTCATTATGTTTCTCGAAGACCACAGCCAGCTGTCGTCATTTGTGTGATGTTGTCTGAGCCTAACCGCACTCATCGATTAAACGGGAGAGCGATTTTTCACTGTTAAACCTGTTTAGTAAATGGATTTGGTTAAGAGTGCAAGAATGGATTTCTCTCGCGGAATGACCCGTTTGAATTCCCATTTTTATAGCTGGCTATTGCTTGGCTCAGCCTCTTTGTTTGGTACAACTCGCGGGAAGTGCTGATTGCTGTGTTTTAGGATTTTGCATTGTTTGTCACTTGTAAACTATGAGGGTACAATACGCTTTGATTGGTCGCCCAAATCAGCCGGTTAACAAATGAGCTCAATAAAAACACATTCTTCTTAGGCATGGTTGTGGCACATACTGTATGTCGAGCCATACGCTCATCCGTGGTACAATCGGCTATGTCCAGTACGGCTGCTACACCCGGTATGATGAGATTTCGACCTTCGGTTTTGAATAGCTCCGCGGTAAGCATGTGTAAAGTTTTCTTTTCAAATTCGCCGCTTATAGCCAATTAGAAGCAAAGAAAAATAAACATAGGGAAAAGTATACTCCAAAGCACAGATGATCCGTTTCGCCCGGTATCGCAGACGACAAATCCGACACACTACCCTGTTAATTAACCAGATCACACTGTAGTCTAGTTCGCTGCAGAAGAAGGGGCATGTAGGGGGGATAAGTTTGGCGCGCTGCCAAACCTGCTCTCCAGTTGTTGAAGTGAGCAAGTGACAAGACTGTATAATCGTTCGAATCACTCCTCTTCTAAGTGTTGTCGCATACCCGGCTCACTCATACTCCCTGACACACTCCTTCATCCGCATCAGCAGAGTATAGGTACCACTGTAAACTTCTAAGCCGCGCCCTTCACGGAGTTGCTGTTTTTTTCAGAATTTTTCTCTTTTCTCAAGTTTTTCATCCTTACAAGCTGGGTATAATCGCTCCGCTGGCTGTGGTAGAGCTTGCCCTCTTTGCGGTAGTTCAGCCCATATTTGTGACTTCCCTAAATTAGCAGGCTATAATCTCAACTATCATGTCAGAGTTTGTTCGTCACCCGAAATAAGAAGCATTGCAGGGTTCACCACGAGAGACGATAGAGACTTAATCTTGCTCATTGAGATTCTTCTCTGCTACTCCAGGGGGGGGGGGTAACAAGAAGTGGTTGGTCTCACGCAAAGCGGGTCGAATCTTACACAGAGAGCACACCTGTAAGGTGCAGTCTAGGGAGGTGAAATACTTGAAGAAAGGATTAAAGGCTTGCAAAGACCAATTCGAAGCGACCTTGACTCGCTCAGCCTTGGTAGAAATACGTGTCTATGGGTACATTTGTTGTGGGAATAGTGGCTGCAGAAACAACTTTCTCGAGGAAAAAAGTAATAGAATTCCGAAACAACAAATCGCTTAAAAAGTAGTAGAATCCTCTGTTCCTCGGTTTTCAGTTAATGCGTTTGTACGAAATAGCAAGTGCTAAAAAGCCAGTGAAGCAGAATTTTGAAAACAAACCCGAAAAACTATGAGCTGAGAAGTGGTCGTGGCTGTTGTGGTGTTTCTCACTGACAAAATGTCCGATGTAAAGAATGAGTTGAAATTGATGAAACGTGGTAGATGTGGTCTGGAAAGTGTTGAAACGAAATGTAAATAACAGTACTCTGGTTCTATGATTGCATTACTATCTTCTAGGCAAAATTGAATCGCTATGGCGGCCGTCACAGCGTAACAGTTCTCCCAGGAGACGGTATTGGTCCAGAAATGCTTGAGCATGTGGAGAAGATTTTCGGCTTTGCTCAGGTAGTCCTTTTCTCGCCGGACTTTCTCGTTTTTCTTGAGCGTGTTATTGTCAGCTTTCGGTTCCCAATTTGAGTATTTTAGCACTAAGCCTTTTGAGGCGAAGGTATGAAATACAAGCAAGGTACCCGCTTCCCTCCCACATGCACCGTTTAGGGATCAAATCCCGGTTGGGACCCAACCAGACCTGCATTCCGGGGACGGTATATAGGCACCAGATTCTTCTGGGATTGTCGGGCCGTCGGATGGCGATCATAACTCATCGTATGGGCAATATCGCATTTAGTAAGCGACTACTATTCTGATTCTGAATAAAAGTAGAATGCCTATCGCATCCCTGATAGGGAATATGGCGGAGGTTTTATCCTTTAGGTCCTCCTGACCAACCATTGTTCGTGAGCAGGGCGGTATAGTGAGCTTCTTCCCATCCAGATGGGACAAAAAGTGCTATTGCCTATCAACTTGATCTTATGTTTCCCCATTGCGAGGTTCGTTTTAGGTAGCTCGTCCACCCCGTTTTTTCACCCGCCCCACATTATCACACGGAATGCAGCTGGTAAGAGCCTAGAGGAGCCTTGCAGTAGAATCCGAACACGCCTTCCACGGATGAGATCGAAAAGTTCGACGCAGTAGGGCACGGAAAAACTTCATTTGGTCCTCCGCCCACGTTCAGTGCGGAGGACCAAATGAAGGTCGATTTAGACAACTCTCTTTCAGACTGAGAGTAGGATGGGGTGAAAATTAACAGATTTTTCAGGTACCCGTCGATTTTGAAAAGGTGGATTTGTCTTCGAAACCGGAATCTGTTGATGATCTCAATCAGGCAATAACAGCAATCAAAAGGAACGGTGTGGCTCTGAAGGTAGCGAATTACAACACTCTGTATTACCTGCGAGTTCACAGACTCTCCCGTTGTTTCGTTGTTGACTGTAAATTCCATAGTGAGTTGTGTCTATCGGGACTCAATTTCCCAAAGTTTAGTCATGCATGGTACTCAGTTCTGAGTATTTCTCACAACTTTCACTATAATTTGAGGTTCACTCTTCCTCCAGTCAGCCTCTAGCGTTTTATTGTATAAAAGAAGTCCTACGGCTGACGCAACATTGCGACTACTTTGCAACGTGTGGGCCGTGTACCAAAGAAAAGGTTTACTGATGTTAAGTTTGAAATGTCCTCACTCAAAGCAGTGATAGTGGAACCCTCAAGATTGCGTGTCCAACTTCTTTCTTCCAGAAACCTCGGCATTATTGTAAACATGGCAGTTTTAAATTTGTTGTACCAAAGGGGTTGTGCGTGCGGTTCCCAACTGTACTTACTGTATAAGGAAGTACAGTGTGTCTCATTTACTAACTAAACTAACAGTCAGTGGCATCGTTCTTCTCATGTGGGTGGTGGTGGACTGGTAAGTTCTCCTAAGTTTTCTTACATTCGGGTTTTTCTTTAGTTCTCCTGGAATTCCTTCAAAAGCGCTAGGGTGTCGAGGCGTTTGGTGTGGAGGGTGCAACATCCAAACCTCGAGCTAGATCAGTTCTGAGGACGACGATCTTGTTGAAACGTCAGGACAGTTCCAGTAGAGTCTTCCACCCAACAACATCTTTGGCACAACAAAACTTGCCCCTGGCGCAGAAGGTGTCCTGGATAAGCGGCTCAACCGCAGTCAGCTCCTGTGAATGCCAGAGAACAAAGATCTTCGTAGTATCACATGAACGCCGAGTAAAGACGTCAAGATGAAAGAGTAAGAGCGGCCCTAGTGGCCTAGTGGATAGCGCATTCACTTGGAAGGCATAATGCCGAGTAGGAGTTCCTCGTGGTGTGAGACTTTCGCTCATAACTCGGCATTCTTGTGATAACTTTCGAAACAGTTGTTATGATAATAAAGTTATCTTCGCGGTAATTTAGCAAATGCTTGCTATGGCGGACTTGTGAAGTGTAACTGAAAATATTACTACGCAATCAGTCTTTGACGCGTTCTAGGGCAATATTGAAACGAAATTCGATGATCCGCTATTTATATCTCGCAACGTCGAATTACGGCGGCAACTGGATTTGTATGCCAATGTTCTGCACTGCTGTAGTATTCCATCCGTCCCAAGTAGGCACACTGTACGTTTTCCATTCATACTTCGGGGGTGGGTTATTTATCATTTCTTTGCAAAGCTTGAATATTTAGAACATTGATATGATCATTATTCGCGAAAACACAGAGGGAGAATACTCTGGCCTCGAGCATGAGACAACTCCTGGAATAGTTGAAAGCCTTAAGGTTTTGCTTTTTTCTTCTTGCTCGGAAAGACGTGAGGTCCGAATCGTTGTTTGTAGATTGTGACTAGAACAAAAATCGAACGCATTTCCCGTTTCGCGTTCCAATATGCGAAGAAGTATGATCGGAAAAAGGTGACCGCTGTTCATAAGGCTAACATCCAAAAGCTGGGAGACGGGCTGTTCTTGAAGGTAATCTTTCAAGACTTTTTCGTTCTTCTGATAGGTTGAAATTAGAATTGCAAATGAAAATGAGTTGAAATTTATTGTGTGTTATAGGTTTGCAAGGAAATTGCTGATACTGAATACCCTGAGATTAAATTTGATTCCATGATTGTTGATAATGCATCCATGCAGTTGGTGAGCGGATTTTTTCTTCAGTCTTGTTGCTATTATCTTTTTGCATTGTGACGACATTTGGCGTCATTATGTTGGTTCAAGAAAACATGTACTCGAGGGCATGAAATACGCAGATTGTGGGCTCATTGTACGTGTTGTGCACCTTTTTTCCAACCGACGATAGTGTATTTTCATCCAGTATCCAGTCAGCTGGTGCGACAAACTCGGGAAAGTTGCGCAGTAGAACCGGTGGCTTATGCCTTTCCTGTTTACTCTTAGCTTGAGACTGCTCATTCCGTGAAATCGGTTTGCTTACCCTTCGTACCAATCACCCTGTTGTTGTTTGCCAAGATTGTTTCACTGAAACCTCTCAATGTAAGAAATTTCTTGCGTGATACAATGATTTTTCATGAGCTAATGCTATGCTACTGGCGTTAGCTAGGCTGAAACAGGATGAAATATCTAATTCAAGATATTTCATCCTGTTCCAGCCTAGCTAACGCCAGTAGCATAGCATTGGCTAGGCTGGAACAGGATGAAATATCTTAAATAGGTGCAATTTGCGGCGCAATTCACCGACGGGAGAGGGGATTTTGCACTTTCGCTGCTCCACTAGTCCTTTCACAAGTCTCAGCCTGGTGAAACCTGCAAACTCTCGTGAAGTTGGAGCAAGCTCGTCGGGTCACCATGGTAAAATCTGTCAACCCCGCCTGTCGCTGAACTGCCCTAACTTCTGAATGGTTGGAAATATGTATGATGGAAAGCACTTCAGAGAAATTTCCACCTGTTCGGGAGTGTTGTTAGTTAAGGGGAGGAGTTTTCGCAGCATTTTTCTTTCTCGAGATTTCCTGAGTAACAGGGTACCACTGAGCTAAACGCCGTGTAGTGCTTTACAAGGTCTAAGCATTTTTCTTCCAGGTTTCTCGGCCTCAGCAATTCGATATCATGTTGATGCCGAATCTCTATGGAAACATTATTTCCAACATTGCTTGTGGTCTTGTTGGAGGTCCTGGATTAGTGTCTGGGATGAATATTGGAAATGAGTATGCTGTTTTTGAGACTGTGAGTTTTTCTAGACTTTTTTTTTCATTGAGTATTGTTCTGTATTGGAATTTGATGAAGAAGTTACACTCTAGTCCGCTGCGGACGGTTGGGCGTGTCAGGCAGAATGAGTGTGTCACCCCGTCAAAGCCCTTCTCCGCCTCGAGCGCGCATGCGACAAAAAGTGGTAGAAAACGAGTAATACGAACGATGTGATACAAACATATTATTCGCTCGCTTTAACAGTTGGTGGAGAACGGGTTTGACACCGCGCTAAACCCATCCCGCTTGAAAGGCCCAACCGTAGCGAACTACACTATATCTACGATAAATCTTTGAAGTAGGACACCCCGTTTCGAAGTGCTTTGAGTGACTCAGTTAGAGCGGATTTTTCAAACGACATTTTGGCTACTCTGATTTTATTTCTTTCTTTTATCAGTTCAAACATTTTAGTGCATAATACTGGGCATGTCGAACGAAGACGGCGTTACGTTTTACTATGTTATTTATCATAACTTGACCAAATCAAATAATGGTAAATCTCGCAGTACTTTCGTTTCTTCCACACTTTCTTCGTTGGAACCTTACCTTAAGAAACCATTATTGTTTCCGCCGCATGATGTGCGAGCAAATTTTGAACGAGCGGGAGGTGACCGTACGAAGGCGTTTACATTGCCCAAGATCTTATTTTGCGTTGCCGGTTTACAGAACCTTTTTGTGAAGAAGGTTTACATCCAGGGCAAGTTTCTGTGCAAAGATATAACTTTTACATGGTCACGGTTTCATTTCAAATTACTTCCTTCATAGTCTTTAGTTCTTATTGTGTTTGTATGTATTAAGTGGACCTCTACGGATTAACTGGGCGGATATAGCGAATTGCTGGAGCTTACGTAGTTTTGCTTATAATTTCGCTGCTTTTTCTATCTTAAATCTGTCTTACCGTTATCCTTCTCAAAAGTTTATGCAACAGCACTTCATGGAAGGTAGTTAAAACCAGCTCTAGATAATGAACTAATCGAATAAGTGTTGAAATAGACGACATTACAACTGTCAAATTGCTATGGTGGTTTTAACAAGTTGTCTGCGAGGCAAGTTAAATTGGCAAGTTCTCCTGAGAGGAATTTCCAAACCTCTCTCTTCCTTTGTTTGGTGAAGTCGCAGTTTTTAGATAAAACTGTTCTCAAGCTGAAGAACATCAGTTGTTTTATTTACATGACTATCCCTGCAAAAAGTAGTGAGAAGAAGGTACCCTTTCGCTTGGCAACAAGTGGTTTGGCGCCGTTTTGTTGACCCTGAGAAATCACTTCCAACTTCTCAGAAGTATCAAGGGTCGTCAGTTGTGTTTGTTTATTACAGGGAACCGAAACACTGGTACGTCTTTGGCCGGAAAGAATGTCGCAAATCCAACCGCCTTCATTAGAGCGTCTGCTGACATGCTCCGGTTGGTTTTTTTTTCACTTTTGACTACAACACTATGAATCAGTTGTCTTCGTGAAATGACACTCCGAAGAGCCACTAATTGCTCGGTAAATATTTCACTAGACGCTTTCTATTTAGGCAATAAACGGGAGCTGTTATCTGAAACCACTTGGGGTGTATGCAACACGATGTTTTCAGGTACCTCGGACTGAACCATCATGCCAACATGATTTCGGATTCCCTGTACCGCACCCTTGTAGAGAAGCGAGTTCACACACCCGATATCGGTGGTGATGCAAAGGTAAGGGCCCATGAATTAAGCTCCTATATTGTTCTCATGGCTCCTATTTGAAGACAAGCGATGTCGTGAAGTCTGTGTTGGAGTTCATCGGAGAGGAGATGGAAGAGCATAAGTGGCGTGCTAAGTAAACTCCATTGGCTTGTCATTTCTGAGCTTTTTTATATTCCCTTGTATTTTTTCACGTAGCCGAGGATTAGCTTTTCTAGTTCATTCAGGAGATAGAAGGTCATTTAATTGGCATAATTAGGCCATTCGAGATAATCATTCAACACTTCTCACTTCTGTAATTCTGATCTAATCATTCAAAATTTCTCACTTTCGTAACTCTGATCTTTTGCGTGGCTGGGAGCTTAATAACAAAATTATCGTGAGGTTGTGTTTTAAACTCGATGCTTAGCTTGACCCTGTGCTGTGAATACTATTGCTTATGATATTCTGTAAATTAGTCAAAATAAAAATGTTTTCATTGTTAGTTATTTCCTTTAATGAAAGCATAATGAGTTAGATTCATTGTCTGTTTTCTTACTTCCTTTGGCACGACAAGGCCGAGTGTTCCAGACCATTGCAGAAACCTTAGCCATCGAGCACAATTGAAAATGGTTCCGAGTGATCTCAGTTGTGAAATCCACAGACGTGTTCTTTGAATCATCAAAATGTGGTAGGTGTGGCTGTATATTGCCCCCGAACACAGTTTGTACACTGCGGACAAAGGGGAATGTCAGATGGGATGAGTTTGGCGCGGTGTGGCGTTCTCCACCGGTTGTTGAAGGAGCAAGTGACAAGACTGCAGGTTTTCTCATACCCGCTTCAACAACTGGCAGAGAACGGGTTTGGCGCCATGGCACACTCATACTGCTTCACGCGCCCACATAATCCGCAGCGAAGTGAAGTATAGCTGTGGCTGCTCTTCTACTGAGATGGGATATTTTCGTTCTGGGACAATTATGATCCTATTTTTGCCCAGTACGAGGCAAGATGACAGCTGTGTCAGATTTAGAGACGTAGGAATCACCCATTTTACATCATGTTGAATAAAGTACCGTGCCACACCTACGGCGTCTCGGATGTTGAGTGTGAATGCAGTCTAGTCTTTGATTTTAACCGTTGTTTTTTTTTGATTTTGGCCGTTTCCAACTAGCGTCGACTATGTTGGCTTCTTGAAGGCAACTTAAAACAAATGCTTGAGTGGAAGCGTATTGCAGTTTCAAGCCAAGCATTATAGTTCTCAGTAAACGTCTGATTTGAAGTAATATGTTGCTGATAGTGATGTGAGGTATGAATGTGGAGTGGACTGCTTTGCAGCAACGTACCCGAGACTCATAGGCTCAAGCACAAGTGCAAGCGATGGATCACATCAGTACAAGAGATGGATTAGAGGTTGTGAAGAAATTGTATGAATTTAAAAGATGTTCGATCTATTACGATCCTTTCAACTAAAAAACCAAATGGAAAACGGCTTTCATTCTCGTTACGATCATCCTATCCGTTATGTCGTTTAGTTTCAAATCAACCCAACACCATAACAAATCCCTGCAGCGCTCGCTTCACTCATCCTTCACCTTTCCAAGAAGTTGAATTAACAGAAAGGGAAACATGTAGTCCAGTTCAACGGCTCCACACGCGTCTTTTCACAACCATAGCTAACGTACAGTCCTCATTGTTGCGGACTGTCGGAGGCGGCTGTGCAACGCGGTCCAAATGGGCGTTCGGCCTCGTTGCTCTACCAATGGCGATCGGGTAAAGATCGATTTAGGGAGGAGACAACCAATGATGGAAACGCCGCAGGTGCGAGCCGCTGATTGCGACCATTGCGGTGATGATGGGTATAAATGCACTTTCCGTCTTTAACCCATTCGTGACAATGTCCGCCACTGGTGGTGGACACCGAAATGTCCACTTCGGACCATGTCCACCATATGTGGCGGACGGGCTTTTGATGAAATTTTTAGAAACAGTTCGAGTTCTTCGAGGAACTTTTCCCAGTGGTACAAGTCTTCATACCTTTGTTAATTTATGCAAATAGTGGACCAACGAGATCTTCAGATATAAGGGTCCCAGGCACGATTCAACTAGCAGCACCTGAGCCCAAAACCTCTAGAAAAATTTCTGCTGAAAAATTGCCGGTAGGGGTTACTCAGTGCCCCGATCACGAATGTGACGTCCGTTTCTGGCACCGGCGGTGTTTGACGCCATTTGGCACCATTTGGCGCCACCACTTTTTTCATCAAAACCGGGCGCCAGAATGGTGCCGCGCCAACTCACCACTACCTTTTTTCACCAAACTTCAGGAAAAGTTACATACTAGGGCTTTTTGTTGGTCTGGTCACGAATATGACGTTCACTACAGGTCCCAGCGCCAACTGGCGCCAATTTGGTGCTATCACCTCTTCCACCCAAATTGATGGGAACTTGGATACTAGGGTTATTCGCTGTCCTTATTATTGATATGACATTCATTTTTAGCAGGAACGTTAGCGTAGGGCACAAGGGTTATCAATGCTGATGCTGAGCTTGCCTTAGGAGGAGGGAATCACTCTTCCTCCAAGCTACAGCCTTGAGCGCTACA